CTTATAAGGACACTAGGCATATTGGAGTAGGGCTCACCCTAATGACCTCATATTAACTTAATTGCCTCTGTAAAAACTCTACCTTCAAATATAGTCACATTCTGAGGTATTGGGGTTAGGACTTCAACATGTGAAATTTGGAGGACCAGGACCATAATTCATCTGCCAACACTTTGGTTAGGCTAATTCCTACATACTTTATGGGTTTTGATGACTATTTTGAATGTTGTACTTTTTAAAATAATTTTACTTTCTTTTCACTCCCTTTCTCTCTTTCTCTCTCTGCCTCTTTCTTATCTTTCTTTTTTCTTTCTTCCTTCTTTCTTTCCTTTCTTCCTTTCATTTCTTTCTTTCCTCTCTCTCTTTTTCTTTTTCTTATAGAGACAGGGTCTCATCATGTTGCCCAAGCTAGTCTTGAACTCCTGGGCTCAAGGGGTCCTCCCACTTTGGCCTCCCAAAGTGCTGGGATTACAGGCCTGAGCCATCCCACCCAGCCTCTCATATCTTAAATACATTATAACGTGGTTATTGCTTATATAGATAAAAGCTATTAATTTTTATACATTGACCAGCAACCTTCCTGAACTCATGTATTAGATCTAATTCTTTGTTGGTTGTTTCCTTCACCATCAAATAATAATAGATTTGTCTCATTATCTGACATCTTCTTTCTCAACTAGCTTTATTTCCCAAGTACTGCTATTTCCCACAGGAGTCCTCTTCCTTTTTTAGTTAGATTCCCGTTGACAACTCTGTATGGCCTAATCCAGAGGGAGAGACAAGATCAAGTATGGGATTTTAAATTTTTATTTGATTTTTTGAGAGAGGGGGTCTCACTCTGTCCCTCCAGGCTGGAGCAATCATGGCTAACTGCAGCCTCAAACTCCTGGGCTCAAGCAATCCTCCCACCTCAGCCTCCCTAGTAGCTGAGATTACAGGCAGGAGCTACCATGCCTGGCTAGTTTTTTTTAAGGTTAGTTTTGTTTTGTTTTTCTTTTCAGAGGGAAGAGGCTTAAATGGCCAAAGAAATAAGTAATTGGTGAGAAAGAGAGTGAAGATAGAAGAGAGAATGGGAGTTATTTGCTATATTGAAAATCTGGAATGGTATTTCAGCAGAAATGTTAGGGTTAGCCTAGGACAGAAAAATGGAAGAAAGCAAAGGTAGTTGGGGATATGGACAAGACGGCAGATGGGGCATGCACAGATAGGCTGCAGTGTTTCCTGTCTGATGGTCTCAGCTGCAAAGTCATCTGCACTAAGACACAGCGGTGTTTGGTGGCAAGAGGAAGCCAGGATGCGGATGGAGGGCTGAAGAAGAACTGTAAAGGTATGTTGTAGTCACACTATATTTTCTTTTTTTTTTTTTTTTTTAGACGGAGTTTCACTCTTGTTACCCAGGCTGGAGTGCAATGGCACGATCTCGGCTCACCGCAACCTCCGCCTCCTGGGTTCAGACAATTCTCCTGCCTCAGCCTCCTGAGTAGCTGGGACTACAGGCACGCGCCACCATGCCCAGCTAATTTTTTGTAGTTTTAGTAGAGACGGGGTTTCACCATGTTGACCAGGATGGTCTTGATCTCTTGACCTTGTCACACTATATTTTCTTCATCCTACCATGATTTTTCACACAGGTTTAACTTAGAGAATAAACCACTCCCTGCTCTTATCATCATGAAAACTGAGAACAAGAGCTCTTGGCCAAGAATTTAGTCAAGTCCCTTCCAGAAAGTTCAGGAAGTAAGAGAATATCCATTAAGAGGTGCATCACTCCCTTCTTATCCAGTAGCTTATAATGCCTCTAACAAATCATGTTTGTCTTTGGGAAGGGAATGTGAAGTGTATGCATATGTCTGTGTCTAGCAAGTTCAAAAATCGCTCACTAAAATTGTTAGGAGAATGACTATTCGTGCTGCAGCAGTGTGATGAGGGAAACCTAAAAGTCAGCTCAGCTTAGAGAGACCATGTCCACACCCACACACCTGCACCCTTCACCTTGGGCCCCAGAATGAGATACAGGGAAGAGATTACATGTCACTGGTCCAAGGAGGGTGAGGGACATAAGAAACATAGCTAAATCTAACCTGGAGCTTGGAGCCCAAAGCCAAGAGCTAGCCTAGCTCATTCCAAGTTGTAGCCCAACCTGTAGACCTGTGAGCATAAAAATAAAGAATTGTTGTATTAAGTAACTGAACTTCAGGATAATTTGTTAGATATAATATAATAATATAATATATATTATATATTATATATTATATAATATATATTATATATTATATATTATATAATATATATAATATATATTATATAATATATATTATTAATATGTTAAT